ACTACGGCCCGACGTTTCGGATGCTTTACAGCCAGCCGTTTTGCTTTATAAGTAAGTACTTCGACATTAATTCTAATGGCAAATAGTGTAGTGGGGGTTCCTTCCTCTCCTATTATTTACATAAAAGGCTACTACACTTTCTACGTTTGATTTGTTCTAAGTAAATTAATTAAAATCATTTAATTTTACCCAAGTGTTTAATTTTTTTTTAATTTGTTTACATCCTTTCAAATTTAAATTTCAAATAATTAAACTCTTCCCGTCTTAGTTTTTTAATTGTCTCAGATACTATTAATTTTAAAAAAATACTTAAACAAAAAATCTCATTCCAACTGTGACCCATATACTCCCATTAAAAAGTAATGTTTACAAACATCCTAACCTAGGCTAATGATGAACGACAGGGCGTGCTCGAAGGTAATCAACGGGTCAATGACCTCTGATAATGACTGTCCAATGACGGTGCACTTGAGCACGCGCCTACTGGCTCACTGAAAGCAGATGTGCGATCTGCCTGTGATTAGCCGATGAGATAATGTTTACAGATGTTTTATTAAACACTCGTTAATATGCACTACTGTAAGACGTTGTCGTTTATTTAGAAAGGCTTTTTTGATTCAACGCGCTTAATAAATTACTTTTCTCATGTTGTTAACTCTTTTTGAAAAGATTTTTGTCACTAACGGATCCCAAAACTAATGACGAAAATTAGTTTTTTTTAATATCTAGCAAAATATTTCCATATTCTGCTCCGCACAATAGAATAAATATTAATTTCATACTAGAACCACTTTGGAACCCTTAAGAATTTGATTTAAATTTATTTAATTGACAGTAATTTGCAGGACATTGTTAGAATTTAAAAAAAAGGAGTTATTAATTCTAAAATAGATTGTATTGTTCAATTTATAATGAGAGAAGTTTCTTAAGTTATCTATACCTAGGTACTAATATTATAAAGCTGAAGTTGTTTGGTTTTTGAAACACGTTAATCTCATCGTCTACTAATTTAAAATACTATTTTTGTGTTAGATATAATTTTATGAAGGCTCTAAGCTGTCACACCATGCGGCGACTTTTAGGCCAAAAAAAGCAGTGGAAATTCTTTTATGTCAGGAGTTCCGTTGCGTGCGCTCCGAAAACGGTTCAAGAAACCGGAAAGTATTTATGATAAGGAATCATTCTGTCATAATCCATAATGACCTTTATTATCTAAAAAATGTCAATAATTGTATATGTCTATCTTTTAAGATTAACTTGCAAGAACGTCGGTAACCGCAAACTTGTATGCAACCGTAAATAATTTGAATGCCCGAAAATATTTTAACAGACAAAGTCACGGGCACTCGTATCTTCATAAAATTGATACAACATTCAGTGTTGTATCAATAAGGTGTGTATTTCCAACATAATTAATCAATTCAACGAGATTGTAAAGCTAATAAGTGCAACTTCGAAGTTTATTTGATACATCAAATCTTATTTCAATTACCTCGTGCCATTAGAAGGCACACATTTACCAACATTGAGACGTCAAACGAATGAAGACTAATATTTTACAGCGTGACTTTCAAAAAGAAAGTGTTGAGCAAATTGAATTAAGTTCGGACGTTGAATTGGATACGAACTAAACCCGTATCTTTCCAGATTTATATATAATAAACATTGGTCTTATAATATAACTAATTTAACTTAATACTACTATAACGGGTTCGTTCGTTCTTGTGAAACAATGTGCGGCTAATAATCAAACGGATTACATGGATAGGACTAACATTAATAATTATAAATTGACTGGGTAAATAAATATTGCATGTTAGTCTTTGTCTAAAATAACTCTATATTTCATGGGTAGAATATTAAAATTCACAGTAGGTATATATTCAATTTTTCCTTTTCTAATCGGCCTATATAAAAAAATATTATTATATATACAATATATAATTATATACTGTCTATAGTTTACGCGAGTAGTACACATTTAAATAAAACACTTTAACGGTTTAAAACGCGATATATTAGTTAAATTTGAAAATGATTATTAGCTTCTGTCTCCCCGTGACCACGGCTGCTGAAAAGCATCCGAAACATCAGGCCCAAGTTAAAAATCGTTTTTAACCGGTAAAGTGTCTTATTTAAACGTCTACTACTCGCGTAAACTATAGACAGTATTTATATAGGTTTGTATTTACGTAAATTTATTTGTTATGAGTTAAAAGCTAATATCGCAATACATTTCGTGTCCAACCCCTTTTGTTGGGAATTGCTCATTTATAGCGTTATTGGCTCAATTGACATGTCTGCTTTAAAAACGGAAGTTCATTGTTAAGTGAACTTGTAATATATTGTTTGTTTGGAAAAATACATCATTTTGCAAGGTTGTAGGTATTACAGATAATGTGAAATGTTAAAAAAGGTTAACTTTAGTAAATATTCTATGTTACGTAGTTATGTATTGAGTTATTTGTCGTTTACTCTAAATGGAACGGACATTTTTTGGTGTCTCTGCTCGCTTCGTTTCGTTGATATGATTTTCGTATTGGCAAGTAATTTTAGCGACGGCCTAAAGAGGCCTATATATATGCAACTCGTTGCTAAAGAGCAACGAGTTGCCTATGGTTGCGTTAAGTACGAAGGGTAATGGTTCGACTCCCAAACAAAAGATTGTTACGCTCAGTCAGGACACAGAACAGTGTTCGCCCCAAGCGGTGAAACAGGATTTCAATTTTTTGAGCTGTCGATCCTGGTAATAATCACTAATTTACTAGAAGTAGTTGGTAATAAAACCTCGCACAAGATGCGCATGGTAGGTACATAAACCTTATCTCTCATATGAGTAACTCCTACTCAGCAGTAGAATATTAAATCTATCGAACAAAACCATCCTATAATGTAAATAAATACACAGTCACGATCAAAATCAAGCTGTTTGCTTTGAATATCAACGATCTATAATCGCCTCTATAATTCCGTCAATACTTGAATCCGTATAATAATCCTATTTTCATAGAAATAGCTAGAATGAAATCCCGATATGGTATCAAGCGGCGCGACTGACATGTAAATCGTGATCGGGTGGGGATTCGAATGCGCTACCACAAACTACCGGTGCCACTGCGCTGACTCAGCAAGATTTTGACCACCTGCCGACGTGCGGTTGGGAGTTATAGATCTTGGATCTTTGTTTTAGAGTACAAAATACCTTGTTTGAGTTTTATCGATGCTTGATAAGCCCTTCGATGGGAGTTTTGGAGGAGATAACAATGTGACGTTCTAACTAATTGCGATGGAAACGATCTTATTACCGGATTATTTGTTCTTATAATGTCTTTATTGTTTTATACTCTTGTTAGAGTGGAAAACTTTGCAATGACTTGCCTGCTCAAAAGTGCTCGGAGTTGCTCCTTCAAAGACAAACCACCTTATTTGTGTCAGTGGTTTAGTTAATTCAGTCACATTCGGTTTTATTTAAATAATATTTTATATTATCAATAGATATTTCGTTTTGATATCATCTTGTGCTGTAGCCTTATAGCTCAGTACTACTCTGTTTAAAAGACAGCTTGAATTTATTACAATGTTCTTAGCTAGCACTAAATATTAATCTAAGTCGAAGGGAATAGCGCAATGTATACATATAATAGAATATTGTATCTAAAAGTACGACATTGTCTGTATATTTCACATCTAGTTATAATAAAAATGAGAGCACACTACTTAATATTATAATGGTATTTGTATAAATAACGGTAAATGTTAATAAAGAAATAAATATTATATTTTTTTATTCAATTTATAATTTTTCTGTAACACGTTAATATATCCGGATATTAAATGGATAGCAATATCAAAATTTCACAACAACAATGATCACAACAACCGTCCACAAATGAATAAGCCGTGAAGTTTAATCTCGTTTTGATATCAGTCTGTGCAATTCTAAATATCCAAAGATAAAATAAGAGGACAGGATATAGGCTGAGTTATTTTACCTACCAAGTGACCTTCATGCTTGTCTCTCGCCAAATTTCAGTTATCAATATTTAAGTTCAGTTAAGGAGACTCGTGAATGATATGTTATCGGGAACGATTTTATATTCATTAAATAATGGCCACGTTTATTTCCCACACATCTGCTCAGAGATTAACGCAGGTAGAATATAGTAATGTCGACCTTCGTCAAAACTATGTATATAATTTCTTTTTTTGAAAGAATAATTCGTTGATCCCTCGAATGCTAAAAAACTCGAGATGATGTTTTTAACCTACCATTTTGAGAGACTGACAGGTCGGTTCAGTCGACGCCGTTGTCAGGTAAAAACTTTGATTAAAAATATTTCAGCGAAAGCTTTCGACGTTTTAATGTGCTTACGAGAGGATATTTTTGCCTCACTTAGTTCATAAGATGAAAATTGCATACTGAGTACTCGCCTTATTTATTATATTTAAAGTTCATTTTCAGATGTTATATGGCTGGGTTATTTTACCTTTCATCGCATGAAGTTAATGCTTGCCCTCCTCTATCTTAAAAAAAGGCTTCTACAGAAGGAAAAATTTAGCAATCTCATTATTGAATACGTATTCATTCTGTCTTTTATCTATTTACTTGTCCAATATACCTAATAAAACAAACATGCAACATTGAGTAAACTGCGATTTATTTTATTTGGTAATAGTTAGGGTCCTGAAATAGAGAAAATAAAATAAAAATTATACTTATCAAATACTATCTGTAGTTTACGCGAGTAAAGCATCTAAAACGTCGAGCAGTAGTTAAAAATAAATTTCAAATAAGTTTATCTTATATATATATCGCGTTTTAAACCGTTAAAGTATTTATTTAAAAGTTGTACTTATCAGTTTCTTAAATAAAAACATTTCGGTCAATGACACTCGCTCCGAACCGAATACGCGAGGAGCCATTTCTCAAATTGAACGCATTCAGCGCGGTCGAGGACCCTTGGAAAAAAATCGAAGTAAAACCATCCCCTAAAATTATTTTAGAGAAAAGAAAGGAACTTAATACAGTCCCCACCGCCTCCCTTGGCGCACCCCTCGCGTCTCCGTGTGCGTGCGCAAGTTTCCATGTGTGTGTGCCCTCGGTGAAGCGTCTGACAGCTGGGTAGAGCCGTGTAGACGAACTTCGGTACTGCCGGCAAATAAATCACTGATTGAAAATTAAGATTATATCGATATTTTATTTTTAATTATTATTTTTGATGTGTATTGTATGAAAATGGGATTTACTCGATGGAAATTGAAAATAGCCCAGCCATACCATCTCAACAAGATGCACTGTCTACTTATTTTAGCTTTGGACATTAGGATATCACAGACTGAAACCGAATTGTGATTAAACTTGACGACTATTTTATCTATAGATGGTTGTTTGTGATGAAATTTTGAGATTCCTACCACCCATAAAATATCCAGATTCAGATATAGATATTCCAGATCCGGACGAAGTCCAACGTGTTTCAAAAAAATATATAAATTGATTACAAAAATGTTGGACGTGGTTGGGAATCTACCATTATACCAACGAGTCTGTCAAATCCTACTTAAATAAATATCATAGTATCAAAAAATAACGTTTTCGTTTTTTTGCTGTCCGTACGCTATTGAACCATACCGGGCGGTGTCGGGAAATCAACACACACATCAACAGGCACACACTGTATGCTATGGTTCCCCACTGAAGGGACTCTTAGCGCGAGTCCCGACTGACTACCGTCATATAAATACATAACATCCATGTATAGGGAGCAAGAATTTCGTACGGACTGGACATGTTTTTCATTTAAGATTTATAAGCGATATTTTATTAACATATAGAAAATAAAATGAACTCAGTTTTTTTGAAAAAAAGTAATACAAATCCATACATGGTCCTACAATAGTTTCTTACGAATTGTTCGTAAAAATATTATTATAGTCACTGCATGTAGTTTACGAGAATAGAACACATTTAAATAAAACACTTTTAACGGTTCAAAACCCCAAATGTATTAAATAAACTTATTTACAAATTACTTTAACTACCGCACGACGTTTTGGACGTGGACGTGGTCACGGAGAAATTTCCCGTAAATAATTTTAACAAGTACTACGCGTTAGAAGCGGTCAAAAGTGTTTTATTAAAAATATTTGTATTATGTGGCGAATGAGAGACATATACAAATTTTAAAATTTTGCCACTGTACTACGTTGGAATTATATGTTTTTATGACATAATTATTAGTTCTAAATAGTTTACCTACCTATCACTATCTACTATATTATATTATACAGTAATGCAATAATTATATGTTTCCAATTATACAATTCCAATATACTTACATCAAAACAATTGAATCCGAAATCCAGTGTAGACACCCTCACATATTTCTCTTCTCACGTACGCTGCATATCCGCGAATCAACTTGAAGGGATTACATGCACTTAGGGGTTCCTTCACACGTTTTGTGTACGTATACCTATAGAAATCTTTTACAAAACGGTGTAATGTTTAGCCCAACAGAATGACATATCTTTTTTTTACGTAGTAACTTAACTTAATTTTAACCTACAAGTTACTTTAATCTAGGATAAATACACTTTTTATATAAAAATAATTAATTTACTGCATGAATGGATTTATTATTAAGTGGATAATGTAGTTTAGTGTTTTATTTATTTTGACATACTACTAACTAATACTTATCCCTTATAATATGTTTGGATAACATACAAGGAACTAAAAATGTCTATTACTTTATGATTATATTATGTTTCCAATTAAATAAAATACAACCCCGTTTTGTTCCGTGCGTGGGGCGAATACATTTCTGTGTCGGTTGTTTATTTTTTTTTACAGACAAGTAGGTAGATCAGACTTTTATGCCCAACCGAAACAAAATATTATTTCTCTTGATTCGAACCCAGAAACTCTCGCGCTCGAGTCCTAAAAAATATATAACAAATCAATTGTGTAGTTTTAAACTGATCTATACAGTAGAGTGCCCAAGAGAGAGAAATGTTGATTTGCAAAATGTAGGGCCTCACAAAACCTTTATTCTCTTTGCACACTTCCGCAAGTCATCGATTCTACCTTCGAGATACTTTTCGGGGCCAAAGGGATGCGCCGGTCACCTGGGACTCACCTGCCAATTGCAAAGATTGAGGGATCTTTTACTTTGCCGCTCTTGTTTCAAGATTACTTCCCTTGGGAGGTTGAGAATAATGTGAGTTATGTCCAATTTGCCGACGCCTGCTTCCATTGTCTTTTAAAGGCTTGAATAGCCTTAAGTAATAATATTCGATGTTTAATTTATATGTATAGTGCCATCATGGGCAAGTAGTATGTGAAAAATATGAAAGTTTTCAAACGTTAGTTAGACATATCGTTCAACCGTTCGGTGTCCAGTGCTGGACAAAGACCTCCCCCATAGACTTCCAGTACGACCGGTCGTTCGCTAGTTGAATCCAGCGTTTCCCTGCTACCTTGACCAGATCGTCGGTCCACCTGGTGGGAGGTAGTCCAGGTTTTCGACGTCCGGTACGTGGTCCACCTAGAACCTTTTTGCCCCAACGGCCGTCAGTTCTATGAGCGATTTAGACTATAAGACATAGTAATTATTGTAAGAAATATTTTTAACTACTTGATCACATTCTAAAAAAAGTAAGTAATTGTTATAATTTTAATAAAAAATTACTTATTATTATTATTTAGTTTTACTTTATACTTATTAATAATTTAAAATTTGTCACACAGATTACTTCTTAGTAAGTCCAAAAACTTGCTTTAACTTTTACAAGACAGATATTGAATATATCATTGTATAGTTTAACAATATTAGCCCTTTTATAACTTTTTATATCTGTATAAGACAAATGAACTAAAGTTGAAATCATCTATACAACATGGACAGCGGCATTAAAATCCCATAAGGATCGGAACTTAGCTGTAAATCGATACGCTACCGTTCTGGCACCCGTTACAAAAACCGTTTCCAAGGACAACCGGCTCGATATACAAAAAATATTAGCAATAAATCCGTCAACAACGGTAGCTAATACTGTTATTTGCATACCTCTTGTGACAATGCGATCTTTGTTTGTTTGTCAAAATTTACGAGAAATTTTAATCCTTTGACGCGCCGATACAAAAAGGGTTTGTTGTTGGAAGGCGAGCGAAGAAATGTGGCCTCATGGGAATTGACAAAGACATTGAAAAGTATAGAAAAGTAACTATTCATTTTTTGAAATTTAGGCTTTGCTCAGTCCGAAATCGAAGCTTAGAGTTATGTCAAAAAGCGTAAAACCAAATGTTAAAACGGATTTTGTACTAACTAAAACCTAATTATATATTATGACTAAATTTGAGTTAAATTAGTTAGTTTTGAGTATGAAACATATCATTTATAAGTCACTTTCTATAAGAATTCTATATTTTAATTAAAATCTATTTTACATAGAAATAGGGAGGCACGATCGGGACTTGAACTGCCGTCCACAGCGGTCCCTGCTCACTCGTGCTACCCTCTAGCTTATAAACAAAACACGAGCTCATTTTCATATAAAACATTGGCTTTGTATCGAGCTGATAAAAGTGTGTATTACGCATGACGGCTCGTAGCTAAGATACGTTGCGTGCTGGCCACACAATGAGCCCGACAGAGATTGATGACGCCACATTCAACGAATACATTACGATTTTTGCTTTCGTTTCATTCGATACGAGCAAGGTTATGATACAGAAGTAATGCTTACACCATTCAGGTGATAAGCCTTTTCGCTTTGCACGAACGGCGACGGGGACTCTACAGTAAATTGGATTTATTTTCAAGTCAATAATGCTAGACTTTATTACTTGTTTTGCTTTACTACCCATGTTGATTGTCAACGTAAAATATTCGTCTTACTTCAACCCGCCAAGCATGTAAGCAAGAAAATTATAATATAATGCAGGCTTATGAACAAATTAATTTAATAATCTAATAATAATGTGACAATATAGAGATTTTTTTACAAATTTATAACTGTCAACATTTACAATATTTGTAGTTGCGTAGTACAGTAGTAGTACATACTGATTTATTTTTTAAATTATTCCACACTCGTGAGTTGTTCAATAAATAATATTCATACTTACACTGAACTTAAGTACATTGAATTTCTGTAAAATGTGATAAATAAATAAGAAAAATACAATATTATTCTATATTTTATTGGTTTTGTATTCACAGTCACCTATTGTAGTTACAAAACAATTTTTATTAAAATTAATACGTTTGTACTTAAGCCTAGGTCATTGTCTAAATTGGTATCACACAACGATAGGTAATCAAAATATCTATATAGTTATAATAAGAATACACTATACATTAATATTCCAACAGTTTTCTATATCTCGTACAAAGTTATACAGAATGTATAGTAAATTAGTAACCATTTTGTTATTGTTAAAGAAAATATGAGAATTACACAGGTACCTAAAAAGATGTACAAAATGTGAGTAAAGTTGGTAAAAATATAGAAGCTAATAGTACAAAAGTATCATCAACTAATACGCAAAAGAATCCTAAATCAATTTTTGAAAGAATTACAAGAGTAATTTTTCTTTTCAAAATACTGAATTAGCTATTGAAAATATGAAGCACTTTTCCTGATTCTAAGTATATCGTTAATATCAATAGGTATATTATATTTACACACCTTAACTATACAGATGAACACAGCGGAAAGACAATCAAAAATAAATCAGACACCACAGCCAAAGTACTATCTTGCGTCCTTGTTCTTTGTAGCGGATTGTTGGAAAGAGACAACGCTCTATATCTCGTTATAGTGAAAAGACTAGCCGTTGAAAAGTTATCTTAGCTGTATTATACAGAATAAGAGTATCTATATACAACTGTTTTCCGACGACAATGACTTGAAGGAAAAAGTACAAAATCTCAACACTCACGAGGCTTTATACCTACCCTAAATTAATCACACTTTTGACATTGTAAAGTTTTCACTTAACTATTCAAACATTCAATGACTGGTTACACTAATATTACACAACTTATTATAAAACTTACATATACTTTACACTATCAACACGCGGGAATGGTGAGAAAGAAAATTCGTTAATGAAAAATATATCATCTTTAGACACAGAATACAGAGCTAACCAGAAGGACAGATCGATCACATAACTGCATTACTGCTAGACAAAAGTAACTAAATTTACAAAAGATCGCCTGTGACATATTTGGATAAAATATCTAAATTTGCATGCCGTTATTGCGTAATCGAGTATGCTCTACTGGTTAATTCAGTATCCTATGGTCTTTAAATTACTAGAGATTATAAGGCGGTGAGACCATAGTCCGATTTGATGACGGGCGGGGTATTGGAAATGGTGGTACCGCACCCATTGCTAACTGGGGAACTGTGTGCCGAGAGGTTGGCTACCATACCTGGGTCCAGGGCCCCATGCATGCTCATCATATGCAAGTGATGGGGGGTCATCGAATGCCCATGATTCAAGCTGCCCGGATGCGACATCGGACTAATAACCGGATCGTGCGCCATATTCTGACCGAAATCATTCATGATATTATCTGTCACGTTCTCTATACTGTCGGGCCGTCCGTTGTTATTGGATTTCTTCTTATCATTATTGTTTGTGTTCTTATTCGATCTACTCTTTGGTGTGGCTTTCGACGTGGTCGTGGTGACGCCGGCTGGGTTCGTTTTTCTTCTCACGTTTTTGGTATTGGGCAGCTTGTTGTCCTTCTTCCACTTCATCCGCCGGTTCTGGAACCAGATTTTTATTTGACGCTCGGATAGGACTAGAGTGTGCGCTATCTCTATTCTTCTTCTCCTCGTTAGGTAGCGGTTGTAGTGAAACTCCTTTTCCAATTCTAATATTTGGTGCCTAGTGTACGCTGTCCGCTGTCGTTTCGGTTCCATACCGGGTTGAAATGTTCCATTTGCTGGTGAAAAAAAAAATGATTAAATAGTGTTTAATGATTGAAAATCATACATATGTAAGTAATCAAACCATGTAAATATCTTAATATCAGCTATGCGAAATAAATAAAAAAAACTATTTAACTAATTTAAATAAAACAGTTCAAACGGTTTATAACGCGAAATACTTATATATTAACTTATTTTTATATTAACTTAGGGTCAATGCTTTAGATGCTTTACAGCAGTAGTGGTCACGGGAAATCACTAGAAATATAAAACAAGAAATCTTGTTTCTCTTATATAAGCATGTTCGGACACATATTTGTGTAGTAGTTCTCAAATTCAGATTTTTCTGCTTTTCTAGATGCTAAGAAAATTCTTTTAACGGATTTAAATGCTAAATATTATAAAAACTTGACAACTGCTATAAAGCTCATGAAAACGTTGATAGACTTTACTTGATGCATACTGATCGTCATAGAGGCACAGAAGTCAGATCTAGTCGCCAGTGTTATTTCTGTATGGCACAGAATACTTAAGAACAGTATGTAAAAATAAAACATCGATAAATAAAAATAGTTGTAAACTTGAAATAGGTTGCGTGTGGTACTGAATTATGTAGGTAACGACCTCTCTGGCCACTCTGTTAATTAATGTGCATAATAATTACTGTACCATGAGCTTCCTTTTTGCTTTGATTAATTGCGCTTAGCAAATTAGTTGTTTATATACATCATATTGGAGGAGGTATATTGGCGGGTTTTCTTATTACCCAGAGCTGATATAATTGAAGTTGTGAAGTATGGTTTAACTATTCAAATAATAACAGACTTTTTCTACACAATGCGAAGAAAGCATAATACTATTAGAATTAATTACTTTGCACTTTTTAATTGATCCCAATTTTTAACGTTTTTTTTTCTAGTATTTTTTGCGTTTATTTCATTATTACAGTTACACAGCTTTTCACATATTTTTGTTTATGATAGCTTCATATAAATAATAAATCTACTTTTTAATGATGAGAACGAGACTCGAATCTACAAACACAGCGTTGCGTACTGTTGCTTTTAGCAATTAAGTTTCAAAATTTACCAGACCAAGTGTTGTTGACATAGAAATTTTAATAATTTTTCTATGCTTTGAAATAACTTGGTTGATTCCAAAAGGATATAAGTGGCTTGAGATCAACAAAAGAGTGGCTTGAGATCAACAAAGGTAAAAGCTAAGTAAGATCCTAACTATTCTAACTATTCGAACTATTCTACCAACTTGCAAGCACAATATTGTAATATTTTAAGTTTTATTGTGGGGGTAGTATATCAATTTATTTAAATTATTATTGCTTTCCCCAAAAAACAAAACACTGCAGACAAAAAATATTAGCAAAACGACGAAAAAGCTAAATAACACATCTTTATCGAATCGTTAACAGTTAGGTTATTCAAAGAAAAACACTATAATTCCTTTGTATACGACTTTCATAGCATAAAAGCAATTTCCTAAAGCAAAGTAGAGCGGAAATTAAAGACTTAATTCAAGGAACTATTTCCCTATTGTAAAAAATACACATTTTTGTAAATAACATCTTTATTTAGTATTTAAGTTTGTATTCGTTCATTTAGAAAGCCGCATGTTTGTTTTATTGATGACATAATGTGACTAATTTTAATGTAAGAAAATATTAGGAGAAACTGCTATATGCATACTAATTTTCGAGTTTGTCAGGAACCACTCTGGATCGAATTGAAATTCTTTTATTTCGAGTTATTTATTGAGGAAGCCTGAAAAGCGAAGAAACAATGGGAATGTGGAAAAAACAGGTAGAAAAAGATTATTCCCCTTAAATAATCTAAAAACATCTGTAACAAAATATGTCTATCTGTTAAAATTAACTCACCGTTTAATCAAATTAACCGTTTTTATAGCAAATTTGATTGCTATAAAAACCGTTATAGTAAATCATGATGAATTTTAGCTAGTTTTTCGCAAGTAAAGTACTTTTGATTTTGGACCGTAATATAATACAGAAACATTTGTGAGTACTTATATACATTAGAATCCCATTTGCTTTATAGGAAGTTTAGTCTTTTCAGTGTTATATTTAATTTACAGGCAAGATATTCAAAGCAGTATGTACCCTTTACTGCTAAACTGATACCTATTTCCCGCAATTTCAGCCCAGTTTATACCTAGCTATAGCAAGATGTGTGAGATCCCGTTTCACAAATGTAGTAGAAGAGGCGTACACAGAGATTGTGTATGTGTGTATGTGCATATGTGTATGTGTGCCTGTAGGTATGTGTATTATGTTTTAATGATAGATTTTTATTTTTTTTAGCATTTAGTTAAATCAGACTCTGTGCCCTGCCTAAACAAGATTTCGTATATTTGTCTAGAATTCGAAATAAGACAGTTTTAGGCAATGTTACGTAATGCATATAATCATTGAGTTTAGAAAACTGTTTTAATATAGCAGCAATATAGCACTAATTGGTAAATGGATTCTACACGCAATATTCTTAATTGTATAGGTTAATTGACTGCCCTTGAGACTCAATGGTTAAACGTACAGACCAGCATTGTTTAAAACGCGAGAGGTCTCCGGTTTGAATACAGAAAAATATAATATATACGATTGGATGGGCGAGGCACTTAGTCTGATTAACTATTTGTACGTAAATATAAATCGATAAGTAAAAAGACACAATATGTGTCCGCCCCGATACATTTGGATTTGGAAAACGGGATTTCAAACACCTAGCAAGACTAATAAACTCAAGACATCGCTGTAATATAAGGAAACTTACCTAGAAGATATTACGTGAAAAGAAAACTAAAACTATATCCTATTCAGTCGAAAGGATAAGTCATCATTCGTTAGATAAGGACAGAGATAGTGGGCAGCGAAGGAATTCCCTGGGATGAGGTTTCGGCGAGCTATGTGCGGTCGACCGAGATTTCTAGTGGTCACGGCATTGATCCGGTCCTATACCTTATATCTCTCTATACCTTCAGAGTGGCCGAGGATTTTTGGTAAATGAAACGGTTTGGGTGTGAAAAGTACCTACTATAAAATGTTAGACTGCAAAAGTCAGTAGTTTGTATAGATAAACAAAACTGTCTTAAAACAGTATTTCAAAGAGAGATTGCAAACTGTTACGTTCTTGTGGATATTATGAATATAATATCAAAAACCTTCTTATTATTTTTTTCCCTTAGTTAGGTTTAAATAATAAAAGTAATACACAAATTGCCACTGGATTGAGAATAGACACAAAAGACGTATTCCTTATGGAAATTAATGATAACTATACGTGCCTTATTTACCAACCTGGGGATGTGGATGTATGTTTTGTTTATTACAGTCACTATGTCTTTGATCTTCTAATTTTGTAGGTACAATGTGTGTGGAAAATCTAAACTAACGTCCTTAAATGATTATAAGTGTGTATGTTATGATTTTACTATCAATCTTAGACAATAATACTCCCGGGCTCGTCTGACACAGTTAAAACTGGTATTAATTGCCATTTTTCTTCCTATTATTGGTTTACGCAATTAAGTAGTTATAGGTTTACTGTAACTATATTATATGGGCATCGGAGTTAAATTTAAAATGAAAAAAGTTTAAATCGGCCTCAGTCTGTGTATTTTTTAATGAACAAAGCAAACGCATGTCACTTTCTTAATAAGACTTCAGATTGCTGGCGCATTTTATCTTCAACGTATGTCCTTCCCTACCATTAAAAGGACGATCTTGACGATTAGTCGTGCAAAATCACGTCAAAAATATCCAATAAACAAAGCCAAACAATCGAAACACAGGTAAGGCAGATAAGACGAATGCAAAACGAGAACCCGTTCGTTATAGCGTATCATAGACGTCATCGGCGATGACAATCGGAATTGAATTACCCGCTACCTGGCGACGGTGTGGTCCCCAAGTGATCAGCTAATCAACGATCTCGCTATCTCCAGACGGTGGTCCTCATTACAACCCATCGCGCTATCACTATTATGGAGTGAAAAATTCACCCACACTGACAGCTGCCGATAAGAGGAATCGAAAAGTGCAGCGCTTTGCATAAATCATACGTATGGACGTCTGACGTAGCGTTTTGTTCGTGGATAACCTTTCAAGTGCAAAACTTATACGAACAAAAATCTCGTTCTTGTTTGACAGAGGAGAACAGACATGATTGAGGTTGAAGGTTGGTATACGTTGGTATTTCCAGCCCTATATCAAATATAACGCTGAAGATCTAGGTATTTTGGTGCGCACAGAACACAGCTTTTTATTAGTAGACCGTGATACGACGATAATTTTGAATATTCTTACAAACTATTTGCTAAACAGATTTTCAAGGCATATCCTCTCAGTCAAGTTTTCTCAAGCATCAAAGAATATTTCCGATCATCGACATTCCACACACACTAGTTTATATTATACTCCTGCCAAGTGCGTTGTAGAAAGGTTTAGATATTATAGTAAGGAAACTTTTTAAATATAATGCTATATTTGTCATATTGTGCTACAAAATAAAAATCAAATGTATTTTTTTCTACTTAGTTAAGTAATAATATTAATATTTATGTGTTAAATATATTTACTATGAAAACTTGGAAATACTTGAAGGCTGTCTATAGTTTACGCGAGTAGTACACATTTAAATAAAACACTTTAACGGTTTAAAACGTGATATATTGCGAGCCGTGGTCACGCGTAACCATGGCTGCTGCAAAGCATCCGAAACGTCGGGCCGAAGTAAAATCACTTCCAAATAAGTTTAACTAATATATCGCGTTTTGAACCGTTAAAGTGTTTTATTTAAATACATGAAGGCTCTAATGTTGTAGCTGTACTAAAATAGGTCACAAAATAAAAGCTAGGTATAAGCGGTAATGATTTGTCAGAGATGTCATTACGTGTCAAAAGACGATGTACTGAGAGATGTATGCCAGATAAATCAATTCAAATGGACGGAATTACATCATACTAGCTTGCATTGTGTCATTATACCAGGAATTATAATAGATATTATATACTTGATGTAATGCACTTGATAGAGATAGATCTGTTTTGAGTTGGTTTTTCAATGTAATATAAAACTTTTTAGTACAGTGCCCTACTGGCCCTAACAAAATGGCGAAGTAGAGAGACAACACAGAGATATATTAAAAAAAGACTGAAGATTGGCAATATTGAGAAAAAAGATTTACAAGATAGCTTGAATGATTACCTCATGATATAATTCAACACCTCACTGTAGCTTTCGTTTAGTAATTACTAGCGACAGGCCGCGGCTTCGCTCGGGTGCAATGCTAATACTCACAACACTAAAAACTGTGAACACTGTATAAAACCTTCCTCTTGCATCACTCTATCTACCTATTAAACGAACCGCATCAAAATCTGTTGCGTAGTTTTAAAGATTTAAGCGTACATAGGGACAGAGAAAGCGGCTTAGTAGTGATGATTGACTATTTTTAAAATGTTAGTAGTACACAGTGACTTACTTTTTTATTAATCTATATTCCTAATAATATTCTAAGATGACGAGCTTATTAGTTTGAAAGCCGTTATTTCAACTCTCTACGAAATTTTTGCTTTGGTTATTTAATTTATCCAGGAATGACTATAAAACATTACGATGCAAACAATTAGGGCGCGGAAACAATGGGAAATGTGGAAAAAATTGGGGAAAATTTTTCATCTTTGAGGATTTACAGTGCGTGCACAAAACAATCAACATATCCAAAACGTAAATACGAACGTAAAATATGTACAAAACAATTATTCCTCTTTAAATGATCTTAAAAATGACTGCAATAGTATATGTCAACTAAAGATTAACTCTAAAGAACGACAGAAAACGGATGACGTCGTGGGTAACAGCTGCATTTAAGAAGATAAGGAGGTTTGTAAAAACAAAATTTGATGGCCATACGCGGACGAAGTCAAGGTAAAGATATATGTACTACTCCAAGTCACAAGCTTTTAAAGACCTTAAAAAAACCGATAATCGCCGCGTCGAATTCCGAACCACAAACCGAAGGATAAAATAAATGGCACTCATTACCATTGTTCCCTATTGTCGTGCAAACCTTTCTCGCAGGACCTCTCTAATGACATCACATTAGTAAACTGTCAAAACACATCAAAAGATCTCGAGGAGTTCGAGTATTTGTAAACATTAGATTATTGATTGGGTGCAATTTGTTTATTTCTTTCAAAACGCGCCGCACTCGAAAAGTATTGAAAGTGATTTTGACTCGTGTTGCGACAATAGCCGAATTAACTGGCAATATTAATGTCGGCTATTAATCTCTTTTAAAAATTGTTTTATGTTGAATTTCAAGTTCATTTAGAAGCGATTTGTAAGGATGTTGCGGCGTTCACATATTAGAAAACGGTTTGCAGTGGTCTTTAGTTTGCTTATAACAAATGCGTGGTGGGTTGGATTCTAACAAGTAAATTTTTGTATTTGTTAATTCTTTTCTAACATTTTATATAGTATAATGAAGTTATCACATATAAGGGTCGTAAATTGTTAATTTATTTACTTTAAAAGAAAAGGTTGGCAACTTATAGTGTTTGATGAATACCTATTAGAGAGACCAGACATATAGTTTTGATTGTAAAATATAAAAAAAAAAGAATAAAATCAACGGATACACAACGGACACTGATATTTTATTATAACCACGAGTGAAACTGATGAAATGCAGAGAGGCTATTTTCTTAGTTATAAGGAAAAACATAAATGTGTATCGCGTTTCAATCCGTTAAATTGTTCAGTTTTAATAGATAGATATATAAATAAAGTAATATATAATAACAAGTTAGATGGTTATTTTCCAACATGTGTTCAGTTTTTATCAGTTATATACTTTTAATACTCAGGTAAACTAAGGACAAATAATATAAAAAAAATATAAATTATTTAATAGCATCGTTTGCTATCTGAAACTCAAAAAGTAACAAACGCCTACGTCATTTACATGGTTTCCGCAAAATAAAACTCTACTTACAAGCACCGGCAACGTGGATCTTCTTCATCCACGGGTAGATGACTCGGTCCGTGTTATCCGAACAAATTGATGAGTCATCGTCCTCCATCGGCGGGCTATCAAGAAGTAGCCTCTCATCATCCATCTCCGACCCTGGCGACCCCTCTCGACCCAACGCTTGAAGCTTCCTTCCAGCTGGTGCAGCTTCTTCTATATGCCTTTCCAAACGCAGACCCAGCTCCGCTAGTCCAGGAGCCGGTTCACTATGAGGGATATACCCATGATCCGCATCAGACGGATGAGACGGTTCGGGGGGTCGTGGAGGCGGCGCCACAGGGGGATGTTGCGGTATCGGGTGGTAGTAACCCCCATAGCCGTACCCCGTTCCGATCTGGACCGGGTACTGATGCTGGTAGCCATATTGCAATTGATGCTGGTAGTACTCCCCTGGTGGGATATAGTCCGCTTGGCTGTACTCTTCGGAGGGGGGGAACTTCGGGTCGGGCTGCGGCTGGTAACCCCCGTTCATGAGGAAGGAGCTCATGGTGGGCGGGTTCTCATTACATTACACGCCTTTATATGGCCGACATACGCATATTTCCCGCTCCTGTAAACAGCGAGATCACGCCGTTATGTAATTTTAACGTTATTTATTATAAATTACTATTAAATTGATACTTATATTACTTTAATGCAGGATAGTCATTTTCAAGTTTAGATAATTTCTACCTAATAAGGTACCAGATTCAACAAAATGCCTTTGTTATTTTATTTACTAATTATCTTAGAATATGGTAATACAATAGCGTTCTAATTTAGGAGTTTTAAGTTATTTTATTACTTATGATGTTAGCTTTTCCTAAAACAATTTTAAGGAAATAACTCAGATACGAAATAGAGCTTCTTTGTTTTTATTATATTCTGTAAGAGATAAGTAGGTACTTATCTCTTACATATCCTTTTTACTAAATATATTTATCCGTCGAATTTGCGAAATTAATAAAGTTGATAACTGTTACGCTCTTGGTTGTCGTGAATAGAATATCGCAACTACACAGTGTTATCTTTAAATATCTCTAATTGTTTCTTATGCTGTGTTCTGTTAAAATTACATTACGGCGTAATACAAAAATCACTTACAATAAAAATAAGTTCACTTCACTCTCACTCAAGTCTCAGTTCACAGAATCGATATCGTAATAATCGCAGAGTCACTTGATTTATCACTTTTTGATAATAAACAATGGGATCAAATCCGGGCACTGTCGCGACATTTTGAGACAATATACACTGCCCGACACGCCAGCGCACTCTGTCACTATAAGGACCTCTATACATATCCATCAATTTTTACATACCACCTTCCATTTTTAAGGCGGAGCTGCACAATTACTCTGCCATAGAAATTCTACACAAACTAAAACAAACCTTAATACAATTGAATAGAGTTTAAAATAAAACATTTATTCCAATTAAATGATATACCAGACGCAACATCGCTCTCTTTTTAACATCAACTTTAGCAGTAAGCACGAATGCGATAGAACATTCGAAGCATTTTCGCGACCAATGAAATAAATATACAGCCGTCTCTCTCTTAATGCAAGCTTTAGAGCTTAAGGAAACGGGATAGACGATAAGCTCATTGCGTAGATTAAGAAGCTGATGATAATAATTCGGGAGCGCTCAGTTCGTTGAGACATGGCGCGCGGTTTTAAATATTTAATATGCAATTTCCTTTATTTTAAGTTGGGTAATAATGGGTGGCAAGTGAGTTGTAATTTGGTATTATTTATCTAATTATCACACGGGTAATTCACATTGTGTTGAATCTGTATTATTTACGCCAATTAGGTAGGTAGTTTCATAATTAAGTAGTTTCAATAATACTAATTTATTCAGTCATTTATTTATACAATTTATATTATCTTTATAATTTATTGTCTTGTTACCTCGTTCGCATATATATCAGTAATCATCGGTCGTAGGTTCATACAAACTAGATCAAGAGTGTAAAAAATAATTTAATAATAAATTACATTACTTGTCGATTAACTTTTTAGCAGTTGTCGCTAGACAGTTGCGTTTAAAATTAAAAAAAATATATATATTTTTAGTTATACGGTTATTATTTACCCGAACTAAAAAAAAACAGTTTAACGACTAACCATTTTTCGTACCAAAGAAGGTATTATTTCCATGGTGGTCCCACGATAAGGAAATTTAGATCTGCCGATGGAGCCGAGAGTCTGTCGAAGGAACTCCTCAACGATTCTCAACAAATTTGTCCTCTTATAAAATAGCTTTAACAATATCTTACATGTACTTTGCCTAGAGTCGTTGTCCTGTATGTACCAGGAGTTGTTAAGGAACTACAAAACTTATAGATAAGTTCTTAAACGCTCTTAATTGACAAAGTAGGTACCTACGGAACTTAAATATTATCGAGATCTAATATCGGACTTACAACGGATCAAAAAGTCCTTCTCATGACAAACAAAGAAGTCCCGATTTGAGTAGTGTAAGCCACTAATACAACAGTGAGTGGAAGCCGACAAATAAACAAAAATGTCCATGTTATTGAATTAGGCGATCACAATGCTTGTATCACGGTGGAAAAGTGCTGACTCAGTGGCTGCCAACGATCACAAAAGGTGGGAACACCCGTTCAATGGATGTTTGATCAATAGTTAGAGACGGTTTCTTCTGATCTGCTTTGGATAATGAGTTGGTTTGATGGGTTGAAATCAGGTGGCATGGGTCATTTAAGTAACATATTTATATATCTAAGCATACATACACAAATATATAAAGTCGTCTGGAAGTACAATATATTACATAACATAACATAGGTAAAGGTAAACGCAATACAATTTTAACTATAATACATTTTTTATTAAATAATTTTATTTAAATAAAACACTTTAACGGTTTAAAACGCGATATATTAGTTAAACTTATTTGAAAATGATTTTTAACTTCGGGCCCGTCGTTTCGGATGCTTTGCAGCAGTAGTAGGTACTACTTGCGTAAACTATAGACAGTAAATACTGTCTATAGTCATTTTATGTTACCTACTATGATAGTAGGTACATAAATAATTTCTCATAAACTTGATAGAATAACAATCATATTTCACAAGCCTATATGATCAAAATATTTTTTTTAATAAAACTCGCCAAACACCAACTACGATGGAAAAGATAGCGTTGCAGTTTTTACTTTGGCATTAGGGACACCCTCCATTTTTAGTCTCCTCATGACCATGGCTGCTGCAAAGCATCCGAAACGTCAGGCTGTAGTTAAAACAATTTCAAATAAGTTTAACTTGTATATTTTGCGTTTAAGCCGTTGTATTTGAATACTTCTCAAGTAAAGATAATTGTTTCGATATGAAGAAGTGTTTTAATGCACCCTGTATTAACATTATTATCAATATAATTTTAATCTGTTGCTGTGGTGTGGTGTGTGTGAGGTGTGCTTTTGATGAATTCGATTATAGAACAAAGTAAGAATATAATATACGTTAACTTAAACAGTCAAAGCAATAAAAGGAATCGACACCGAGGGGTGCATTGGTCGTCTGATTTATTAATTAAGCGAGTTAAAATGTCGCCGTTGTTCATCAGTTATTTCTGTGAGAAATTGTATATTCACATAAAAAAATAATACAACATTGACAATATATATTCACTCTTTTAGCATTTTGTGCGGCTAACTAAAGTTATGTTTTTTTTTATTGCTATTGTATTTAACTTTACTTACTAATATGTAATTATAATATCTATATTTATGGGAATACCGCCCTCATACTCGACACAGGTTAAATAGGTAACGAATGCCTACTCGCGCACTGGTCCCTAATGAAAACCTCTGTTTAAAAAAACGTAAATATTGTCTGTAGTTTACGTTTTAACGGTTTAAAACGCGAAATATATTCGTTTACTTTATTTGGAAATGTGTCCGAAATTTCGGGTGCTTTGCACAGCGGGACCATGACCGGAGTAGGAGACGTCTTCACGTGACCACAGCCGCTGCACAGCATACCAAACGTCGGGCCGTAGTTAAAAAAAATTTTCGAATAAGTTCAACTATTATATTTCGCGTTTTAAACCGTTAAAGAATTTTATTTTAACACCTAATGTGTTTTTAAAAGCTTTATAAAACATTTAAAGTTGGATAAAAATGATCCCGGTAAGCGCAAACTGATTCAACTTCGATTAAGCCTTCAACTAGAATGAAGTATGCCCGAAGTATAAAGATGTCGCGAAAGTTCAGAAGTTTGGTGCGATGCTTCATCGCGATGTTTTTTCGAAGCGCTAACTGGCAGCCAGTTCCCATCCAGCGCAAACTTAATCCAAGTTTAATGAACAATACGACAGGCCTTTAATCAAACTTTGAATTTCCTAGCTCGACCCTCAAACGAAATTAAACTTTACCTATTCTGTTTACAGCTGAGAATCGATTAAATCTTGAACGGCGGTTAAGATTTATTACATTTAAGCGTGAACTGGAGAAAAACCTATTTAGCCGACTTTGATCGTGTTATTTGTTTCTTGTTTTGCGTTTGAATGAAATTTGAAAGGCACTAAAGAGTTTAAAATTACTAATTTATAATTCCCAAAATTTAAATAACAATTCCAATAAATTATTTCTACGAAGTTCTAAAAAAATGTTAGATACAAGTTTGATACCTGATTTAATATCTACGTCTATTTCGTCAGGTGACTACGTGAAACTGAATTTATATTTAAAAAGAAAAGCTGAAAAAATTACACTCAACAATGTCAAAGACAATAAAAACATCGTTTCGTAGCTTTTTAACTGAAACGAAACCAATACTTGTTCAAACTTATTGACTAACTTCACTAGTCAATAAGTTGGAACAAGTATTTTTATTCCCAGAAGTAGATATTATGGATTATTGAACAGCAAGAAATAAATATTTAAAATACATTAATGATATCCGTGAACCGTTTATAACCGTCTGCGTCTAAATGATTAAACGTATTACCTAGACTTGCGTAAAGCGCGAGAAATCCTGGGTTCGAATCCCGGGGAAACAATCGATTGTTTCGGTCAGGCAGGGGACAAAAGTCTGATCAACTTGCCTTTAAAAACTTTAACATTTTTCACATATTATTGCACATGATGGCACTTTATAATTAAAGAAAACGGCACGGAACGCTGACGATGCCGGTTCACGTCCTGCCCGAGTGGAAATTTGTCGATTTTTAAAATTACTTGCCTGTAAAGAAACCCGATTAGTTAAACGAACACAAAGTTATGTTCGACTTACTGATGAAAATCACATACATATAAATATTATGTACCGAATACTTTAATGGTTTATCTCGTTCCAATTTAATTATGTTAAGTAGGTACTCTTTCTAGCCGGGGGCAGTAAAAAATTCGATTTATCTAAATCGTTTGGCAAGGGATCGCATAGCCAATTTTCTGTAATGGCGGGATGCATTCGCTATCTTTGTTGGAGCGCCGACGTTTTTTGTTTTTGCCCCTCCCAACCTTGAGGCAGGGTTTGGCAAGGAATTCGTAGTATCTACTTATGTGCATGCACATTATTATACACAACACAATTAAATGTGCGCAAAACACATATAACAAAAATATTATTTAGAAAACGTCTTTCAAGTGGTTTGTTACGTATATCGAATTGATCAAAAACTGTATCAAACATAAAACGAAGTTAATTTAAAGATAAATCAATAAGATATGTGTATTTAAATAAAACACTTTAACGGTTTAAAACGCGATATATTAGTTAAACTTGTCAACGTGGTCACGCGGAGACTCCCCGTGACCGGCTGCTGCAAAGCATCCGAATCGTCGGGCCGAAGTAAAAAATTTTTTTCAAATAAATTTAACAAATATATCGCGTTTTAAACCGCTAAAGTGTTTTATTTAAATGTGTACTACTCGCGTAAACTGTAGAAGGTATGTGTAGTTATTTGAGTACCTTTAAGAAACGAGAGTTAGATTAACGTAGTTAATTTCTAAAATAACTCGCTACATATATTTGTAACTTATTCTTGTAATTTTGGTATGGCCTTTTTTGTTTGTTTGTAATTCTACTAAAACTATCAAATGACTACAAATTCATCGAACGTTTATTACTATAACCTCTAAACTCGTATAAACAACGTACGACCCAAATTTGACGTATGAAGCGTTTCTCATTAAATATTAAGTTTGAATGAACGATGCGAGTTCTTGACATGAGAACCTACGTCTGTCAAATATCCGATCGTCTTTACCCTTATACAATATACGTATAATCCAGCTACAAGCATATAACACTAGTTTATGTTGCAGAAAAGATATAATTACTTACACGATACATGTATTAAAAATATAAAAGGCTTACATTTGTGTCAAATAGTTTATGATAGAAATTGCTTACCCAAAATATTACAAGTTACTTGTTACTAATATTATCATATGTGGATTCCGGTTGGGTAGGGCACAGAAGTCTGATCAACACTGTTAAAAAGAACGGATCAGTGAAATGGACACAGAAATGTGTTCGCCCCATGCCCCACGAGGGGGAAACGGGATTTCACACACACATGTTTCAAAATTATAGGTTAGATTACAAACATGTGGGATCTGGTAAGGGGTTCGAATCCACTGCCCAACTTATAACCTTCCTTTAGATATATACCTATAGTTTGTGTATAATAGCCATAGGTACATTGCTATCATTATATTTTTGAATTATGATAACTTTTAGGTAATAAGCTTATTAGTACATTAGGTATATAGTACGATACTTAGTACTGTTGCATAATTTCGTAGTAAAGACAAATGTAAGACTCCCTAATCTTTAGTGACGTCATAATTACAAAAACAATATTTCATCTTATGAAAGATGGAAGGTACGTTTCGTAAATAGATTCCTTCCCTCTCCTCATCCTCAAACTTTCAAGTACAAAAATATATTGCCAAAGCTAATAATCCCATATTTGCCATTTCATATACGCATGTCGTAACGAAACGTCAAATGTTAAAGCTTTGAGGGGGAACGCTCGGTATTCTTCGTCTGTGTTTGATCTGCGATTTTGTATCAAATATAGAACAAACGAAAATTGAACGTTAACTCAATACATTAAGGTTCAGTTATCGTTGGGACGTGTATGTCGATAAGGTTGTTTACAGTTGAGTGAGTCGGGCTTTCATTAATCAGAGAGTCGCGACACTGCAGTACTCAGTCGCGGTAGGATTTTTTTCCTCCTGCGCCCTTATGCTGCTATTGGACTCGATTTCCTGGGATCCTAAGACTGGGTGGTCTCAATCTATAATCTTTGATAACTCTATTGATATGAGACAATGCTACTGGCTCTCAGTAGCGGGAACTGCGTCATTGAAGATGCGTGGAAATGTTTCGTTAATAATTTAATGTAATAATTTTGTTTCGTTAATACTTCATCTTGCCTACATTTTTAGTACATCTAATCTTCTTATTCTTAAAGCTAGGTTAATTGAGTACTTTTTTACATAAATCTTAAAATGATATACTAGGATCCTACGTAGATACGCAGATATGAATTTTATACGAGCTTAAGCCAAACTAAACAGAAGAGCGCTACTGTCTGTAGTTTATGCGAGTACTACACTTTTAAAACACTCACCACGGTTTAAACAGGATATATATTAATTAAATTTGTTTACAAATATTTTTTTACTACGGTTAAAAAGTCTTTATTTAAATACTATTTCTTATAAGTGCTTACGGGTAATACTGAATAAATAAGTTATAAAAGAAGCAGGAATACTGCACAGTAGAATTTAGAAAATCATTCACATTTTAATAAAACGCTTTAACGGTTTAAAACGCGATGTATATTAGTTAAACTTAATTTGAAAATTCTTTTATATGGGGCCTGACGTTTCGGATGGTTTGCAGCAGCCGTGGTCATGGGAAGACAGGTCTCGCATAAACTAGAGACAGTATTTGAAACATTCACATTTAAATAAGGTTACTGAAATATCGAAAAAAGTCAGTCTTTGTTGAAAACTTTGGGGCAAGCCACTCTCATTTCTTTTAGACCTTATGTTATTTTTTACAGACGGTCGTAACTCGTTGAAATTATATTTTTTCTGTGTGGGTGTGTGTAGTGGTCGTCTGCTGTTTACATCGATAACACCCCTGGCCGAATTTACATTTTAATGCATAATTTAAGCAACATGTCGACGAAAAAGGGGATGTAGAGGGCTAAATAATATTCCCCTTATCTGCGCCCCTCAGTCACTCTTTGCACTCCATCCTGTGAATAATCCCTTTGGGAACAAACACCGTGTTCCCTTCTTTTACTTTTGTCCAGGCTCACTGAATCGAAATGAAAACTTATATAGGATTACGTTTTTATATAACTGTATCGATTTTTTCTAATGCAACTTCACTTTACAAGATTCACTTTGAAAACTTTAATATTTTTCACATGTTATTGCATATGGCACTATATAAATTAAAAATAAACATAGTTTGAATTGAATTTATTTTAATTGTCGACACGGGCAGGATTTGAAGCGGTTGCCACAGAGTTCTGTGCTGTTTCTAACCAATTGAGCTACCGTGTCATTATATTACACAATTAAATTATATGTGCGTGGTGTACAATATATCTGAGAATACAAATTTAGTAAGAACTAATAAATGTAGTATAATCCGTGATGATAAACTAATAACACAATATAATTAGTAATGAAATATGTGGGAAATATCGTAGTACAAAATTTGTGTACGTCTTTCATCAGGTGATTGTATAAGAGGCAAATGATCTCTGCTTAACGAAAACACTTTTCAAGAAATTCAAGTCCTGATGCTCTCAACATTAGGCAAGAAGTGTTAATTTCCTACAAATAATTTCCTTATTTTCAGGCTCAGTAACTAAATACATGATACACAAAATATCATATAGGTACGTATACAAAATACGGTTATACACATAAATATTAATGAAATAGAATTAGCATTTTTACTTATGTAAACTAGTAGGGATGCACTCTGATAATGGATTTATTAATTTTGTAATTAAAAATGTATCGTATCATTAACTGCCTCTTTGGTCCAACAACAATATTAATTCTTACCATTACAGATACTTGTTTTTAAATACAATTTATTGTTTCTGAAATATGTCAACTTCGCTTGAAAGATCTGGATATTAAGTTGGTGGTAGCAATATCGAAATTCCGTTCAGGTTACGAACTGCCATCTACAGGTGTACAAATTTCCATCTGCGGATATGTAATTAAGCCAAAATATAGTAAAGTTTTGTGTTGCTAGGGTATTTGACGTTCCACCAACGGTCACGTTCCTCTGTTATAACAAACTCTCTCGCAACGCGAACATCTCTATACAAAACGTCATACAAACGCAATTTTTCGCCCAATCAATCTTACGATGACTGCTACATTACACTTAAATCAGCTCCGATTTCACGCGTCTATATCAGCTCACTTTCTAACTGCCACCGGTATTAGACTGATCGATCGCCCGGAAAATTGTTCCGAATCACTGTAAATATTTTGACATCGCCCGAGCGTCGTATTAGGAAACAATGAGCAGGAATCGAAGAACGATCGCTCCCAGAGGAATCGACAGCCTCGCAGATGCTGTGTTCCTAGTGTGAGTTTGTAAGGCTTTCGTTAGCTTATAGGAATAATTGTATTGGTTTTACACCGCCAACAAAGACGATTTCAACATCTGTGCAAAATGGCTTATTTTAAGATGTTGATAGTTTACATTATAAAGAATATTGGAGACAAGCAAAAGCTTCCACCTTGACTGTAAATCATATTGATTATATAAGAAGCTTTAAAATATCTACCTGTCTCAAAAAATGGCATAATTACAGTGTTTTTTAAAGATCAGACATAGAATAAATAACACACGAAATGTTGTTCTGGACGGACTGCTCGTTGGTGTTTTAGTAGGAAAGTATTACTAATAATAACGGGATATGGATTCCATTCCCACCGGACCCAACATTCATGTAATTTGTAATTTTTCTAAAACATATTGGAGTTCATCTAGAAATCTGGATGTTAAACGGGTGGCAGGAATATCGAAATCTCGTCCGGATCACGAACTGCTGTCCATAGATGATAAAAAACCGTCACATTTCAGTCCGTCACTTTCCGAATATCCAAATCCAGAGTTCGACAGCACATTGTTTAGATGTTATACGACTGGAGTATTTGATCTACGATCAAGTGAACCTCGTGCTTTCCTATCGTCCTATATCATAAAAATAACAACACTATATTTAAATAAAACACTTTAACGGTTTAAAACGCGATATATTAGTTAAATTTATTTGAAAATGATTTTTAACTTCGGCCCCACGTTTCGGACGAGGAGGCTCCCCGTGACCACGGCTGCAAAGCATCCGAAACGTCGGGCCGAAGTTAAAAATCATTTTCAAATAAATTTAACTAATATATCGCGTTTTAAACCGTTAAAGTGTTTTATTTAAATATAGTGTTGTTATTTTTATGATATAGGACGATAGGAAAGCACGAGGTTCACTTGATCGTAGATCAAATACTCCAGTCGTATATTTATTTTGTATATGTAATTCTATGTATCCATGTTCTTATGTCTATGTTTGTGCAATAAAGAGTTTATTATTATTATTATTATTAATATATCGCGTTTGAAACCGTTAAAGTGTTTTATTTAAATGTGTACTACTCGCGTAAACTATAGACAGTATCTAACAACACTATAGTTAACATTAAAAGAGTCAATGCCAAACTTAAAAATCGAAAATAAATTGAAGAAAATTTCGACTCCGGCAGGACTCGAACCGAACAGCGTTCCGTGCTGATCGATATTTCGATTTTTAAATTACATAGCGCCTTCATGTGCAACATGTGAAAAATATTACAGTTTTCAAGAGTCAATACAAAGCAACTTGTATTGGGATTACATAAATATTCAAAATAATATAAAGTAGTTCAAATTATGCGGTCGAACGAAATGTATTGTCCCCGTTGCAATGATTAAGCATGTTCCGAAATTGGGTGCGAATTAATGATTTTTATTCGCCAAAGTAATTAAGTTTGTTTGTGGTTTGGTTATGCAAATTGACATTTACCTATGGAACCATTTATTATTATTTTAAATAGCTTTGTCAAAAAGTATGAATTATATCAACTGGATACTTATTTAGTCTTTAGTCAAAGGGAATTCTTCTGGCAAATTTATTTCGAAGAAATAGAAAAAATAACAAGAACAAAATAGGATGTTTACCTAATTGTAACTAAGTGCAACATCCTCTTATATTGTCATCCACTGTTGACGGTGATATGTCGATAATTATTTGTAAATTACGACATCCGATTGGCTGGAAAACTCGAGTAACAATGACGTCACAGCCTAACTTGAAAATTAAAAATTAGGCTTTTACAAACTCACTGCTCACCAGCGTTACAAATTTCTAGATTACATATGATGTAGGTATATTTTTTCACTCGGACACGGTGTCTAATACATATCACATTATGCTATGTAATTTAAGCTTCAAAGTGGGTCTTCAACTTTGTTTGAAGAACACATTTCAAATAGAGTTAGATTATTTAAAACCTTTATATTTATAGTTAAGTTACAACCGACTATCATACGCGTTTCTTCATACATATTCTAAGCATGTGCCCTAAATTATATTATATATTTTCAGGGAATTATCACAGGAAGAATGCGATAATTATTGGACATTTCAACGACAGGAACTGCACCGCAAAAAGCGTGCAGCGCGACGTCGCCCGATGACTAATGACGTGGTGAAAGTTTCGCGAGGATTCCGAAAAATACCGCTCCGTTGCATCCGCGACTATTGAGAAATGCTTCAAGTATTTAGATTATTTACTGATTTCAGTAACAAACAAGCTACAAACGCTACAACACGCAACGTAAAAATGTGTTTGTGAAACAACGCAAAACATACCTACTATAGAAACATATTGTGGACCCCAAAATTCGTTTTAAATGGTTCGGTATACCTACTAACTTATTTGACATACTTCAAAGTGTGTATGATACAGGTGGAACTCGAACCCACAAACTTACACACGACTGTTACCAGCGATTTACTATATTGTTTGTACACTTTTCCGCTACATTGTTTCCTTTCGTAAGTTCGTATAAATTGAAGATTAAAGTTGTAAGTATCAATTTATCAATACATTTATTCCCAACTCATAAATAACATTTACATTTATACAAATACGATCACATGCAAGAATCGGTAAAAAATAAGTGGTACCTACCTATTTTGTACACAGACAATATACTATGTACGCCTACATAAACAGTAGACTGCAAATTGAAGCCATAAATATTTCAGTACCATCGGCATATCGCGAAAGCCAAGTGCATAAAAGCCATTTCCGAAGAGAACGCTATCAGCCGTACATTCGTTTCAGAGCGAGGCCGGAGCGAACCCGCGAACAAAGAGTGGATACCTACGCCGATCCTTGAGAGAGAAATAGAAGGAAATCCATTAATAACTGTCGCCACGGCTCCTTGTTAAATGCATACAATACTTGAAGCTTTTTTAAAGAACTCACAATGGCAACTTGGCTAAATTAAAAGTTTTTCGATATCTTCGTACGCGACGCACGGAGCTAGAGGAGTAATTATTGTGCCTTCATGTACCGATTGCAAAAAAGATATTAGTATATAGATAAGTAGTAAATTGTAGAAACATACTGTTGTTGTGAGTAGCAACTTAGAACTAAAGTATTATTTAAAGAAAGAATTTACTCTTTTCTTCAAGATAATTAATATGTATTTGCAAATATCTGGATCTTACCATTTTAATTAAAATTATAAGTAAATCACTTTCTTATTCTTAATTTAGTGCTTTTAGTAAAAACAAATGTTAAAATAGGCTCTAGGAATTTTCTGATTAACTTCCTTTTAATCTCAAATCCTCTAAGTTGCTTTCTTCTAACAAATCATCAATTAATATATCTAAAGTTATAAAAATATATATATAATGTGACGTCCTTAAATACGTAAAAGTGGTTGTAGAAAGAATGAAAACGCATTACTTAATATGTTATTACTGTTAAATTAAATTACTTCGAACTTCTTGAACCACGGTTGCTGACGCTACAATATGTGTCAAGCTTTGATTTGTAAAGACGAGTAAAGTCGAAAAAATCAAAATTAATGATTTCAGTGGCGAACTGCGAGGCATGCGAGGATATGCAGGCACGTAAGGCAAAGTCGCCTGGCCTTGCTTCGTGGATATAATGTGTTTCCGGTTAGAAATAGGAACCTAACCTTACAGAGCCGTACGTTTTCACACAGCGAAATTGTTATGCGTTATATTATATGCGTCTAGACATACATATTTAAAAAAATAGACTTTAACTAAAAAGCTACTAGAATAACAATATATAATAATAGAACGGCTTAGTTTTTTTTAAACTTAGTGTTCGTTGTTTTATTCGAATTCATCCAATGTTTTGGCAACATATTAATTAAAAACTTTTTACAGTAATTGTTTTTATATCAAATTGAAATAAATAAGAATCGCCAATAAAAGAGAAAATTATTTGAATACGACCGCGACTAGTATCCATAATAATTATAACCCTTTACAGATTCGTACTATAAAATTGTCTGTTACTAAAGATCAGGTAATTTCATAAAATATTGTCTTTAGGTTACGCGACGAGGGCGCATTTTAATAATACTTTTAATGATATAAACGGTGCTAGCAAAGCTGATTTGTCTTTGACATTAGAAACACGCCTTCGTCTTCAGTCCCCCAATATCCACGGCTGTTGCAAAGCATCCGTATTTCCGTAGTTAAAAAGAAGTTATTTCGCGGCTTTTATTAATAAACCTATTATATTCAAAAGTTTTCTCACCTCTTTTAGTTTATTATGAGAATAAACTTGAATCTCTGTTCTCGCAAAGTTATTCAGATGAACTATATTGTGCAGGTTTAATTATTTCGTTTATAGTATCTTATTCCTAAATATATTTTATTTCGACCTACAGTATCCATAATTAGTAAAGGTAAACACGGTTGAAGATATAAGCGTTGGTATTATTGAATTTTTCAAAAGGTTGTATCTGTGTACTTGTGAGTATAGATTATTCAAATTTCAACTTGATTGACTTATCTTAATATCAGTTGGAAGTTTCCGCGGGGGCGCCCATTTCCAATCATCGCCGATAGCATCTTCTGCCCGAGACGATCTCCCGTCAATGTTTTGACGAGGATACGGAATTAGTTTGTGTACGCTTCGCTGTTACTGATATCTTCTGTATATGGTAGTCAGTAATCCAGATGTTATCAATTGCATAATATTTTAAAATAAAGAATTCTGAAGTTTGGCAAGTAAAGTTTCGAATGGAGATATTGCGTCTTTATTAAACTTGTTGATTTAGTTAGAAATTAGTTAAAGTTGATCAGATGATCATCCACATAACACTGTTCCATAACACGAACAAATGATCGTCATGTGTCAATTCGTGTGAAGTGTAAATTTCCATGTATACGTGTGAATCTGTTATAAGGTAGTGTGCAACTGTAATAGACAAAATGTCAAACAACCTCGCTGGCTAGAGCTAGGCCTCTGAAGGGGCCACAGTCTAAGTGGCTTCTTCATAGGCTTACTGATAGCATATTGTCGTTTTTCATTGTATACATAAATAACATTTTTATTTACTTCTTCTTAATAATGTTTGTTTAGATTAAATTATACTTGTAAATGTTGTGAATAACTCTATTTAGTCTATTCTATTCTTGAAAGGTCAAATACCCATCTATCATTTAATCCGAACTGTGCTAACGACCTGCCTTTAGACATTCAGGAATCTACAGACTGAAATTGATACACAATATCTTTCAGCTTTTGTTTAGATGGTGGAGTTGTGGTCGAGACTTCAACCAATTTAATATCCTTCCAAATGAAGTCCAACATTACCACCACAACAAGTTACAAACCAATTGAGCCCACATCCCGTTGATAATAAGACCCATTGTTACTATCTGTAGTTTATACGAGTAGTACACATTTAAATAAAACCCTCCAACGGTTTAAAACGCGATATATTTTAGTTTAACTTGTTTGAATTTTTTTTTAAGTACGGTTCAATATTTCTCCGTAACCACGGCTGCTGCAAGCATCTGTAACGTCGGGCCGTACTGAAAAATAATTTTTAAACATGTTTTACTAAAATATATAGCGTTTTAAACCGTTAAAGTGTTTTATTTAAAAACCCCATTGTTACTATTTGACCAACCCAATTAATGTTTCACTCTTTGGCGAACGAAGACTTCTGTCTCCTCATTTCATCCAAGAATATCGATCGCGCGATTGCAATATTTCAAATATTAAGTGGTTCGAAGTAAGACGACCCCGTGACCCGTTTTAAAAGTTTTATATGAAGGCGATCGAGAACGAACGAACGAGGGGAGTGATAAATGAACGACATCAATCAGACGAATTTAAATGTTGCGAATTTTCACCCGTATCGCGAAGTTATCCCTATGAAGGGGCTTTGATAAAACGGTGGAATAGTGGAGAAAGGCTTCGAGCCTCGAATTTGCTCTTTGTTTAATTGGCGGACCATTTGATCATTCAATATTATCTAACGATAGCAACATACAAATATTTTCTAGGCTTTCGTACTCAAAGAGAGTAGACTGGATTCTACTTTTAAGCCTTTGCTGTCTGTCCGTTAGTCACAATGGTATACAGTAAAAGCTGAAATCAAATAAATGAGACTCCCCGTGACACGCTGCTGCAATACATCCGGAACGACGGACCGCAGTTAAAATTATTTTCAAATAAATATATCGCGTTATAAACGGTTAAAGTGTTTATTTCAAAAAGTGACCTTCTTTTATTAATCATCTTTTTTTAAAAGATAGATATTATCAGAAATCCCGTTTCTCTTGGGGGCCTTACAAACATATTTCTGTGTCTGTGTTTTTTATGTTATATTGCCGTTTCATTGATGAGTTTTTCAAATGATCAGTCAAGGCTCACCACCAGAATTCAAACCGTATACTAGACGACAAATAATTCATTTAGCTACAGTCATTTAATTGTCGGGTAAAGAAAATAAAGGAAACTATGTACTTATTAACTGCATTTTTTTTCTTTTGCCTGTTTCTTTAACTATTTGCTATTTCATCTTAAATTTGTTAAAGGACTATAATATATAGTACTTAAATGTAAGATAGATCACTTAAATAACTTTCGACTTTCTCCTGATTTTGAACATAAGATGCATTAGTATCCTTATCTTCCTTGTGGATCGTTAACCAGCTACTGTAGAGAAAAGGGACACTTTTTACCTGCACTATGTATTATTGGAACTATATAGAGCTGATAATATTACTAACAAGTATATTTAATTATTTAATATTGTGAAAAGCCTAGTTTCTTAGGTGTTCTTCTCGGTAATATTGCTCTTTTGAACATTCTGTAGAATCACGACGAATAGACAGACAAACATTTTAATTTTTTTTTATGAAACTTAATAATCTTTATAATGTTATATAGAAAAAAGTATATTTTTTATTTCCAAGTTAAAACGGGATTTATATATATATAATGTGTATAATATTTTTTGTCTTCCTTTAAATAAAAATACAAAATAATTCAATATATATCCTGTAGGTATATCCATTTGAAGTTTATACTTACTTATTATACTTATAATAAGTCATTAATTTGAGACGGAAAGATACTCACTTCTCATTGATAAGTACAAGCTACCTTAAACAAATGGCACTCATTAAACAAAGATAGTGTCGTGTTATCGATTACGCTTTTAGTTAGCTATTAAAAAATAACTCTGTCAAAAA